AAACCCCCCCCCCCCCCCCCCCCCCCCCCCCCAGGCGATAAATAATGACCGGTCCCTTATTTGAGAGAAAATATTGAAAGATCAAATAGCCGGCAGAGAGCTAGGTATTTCAGAATCTCAACTGGTATCTCAAAGTCCAGGCGCGTTTGCGTGTTTATAATCAAAGATGCAAACATCGATGCCCAGAAGGCTAATCCATTCTTGTATAATACATTCTCGGTCTCAACTGACCCAAGGACCTTATCCAATTGTCATCTGGAGGTTGAAAACGGTAACGAATACCCCGAGATTCATTATACACCAACTACTGATATGACCCGTGTTTACAGGGATGTTCTGAAATATGTCCATAATGGTAATGAATAAGGTGAAGGATCATTACTCAATAGAGCTAATTTTAGTACCCTGTTTCCCTTTTTATATTTTGATTTAACAAAACAAAAAATGGACATTAAGGATGGCACCACGAAACTGACATTTAAATACGAGCTATCTTGAACAACGACAACAGCCTATTCTGTTTACGCATTGACTATCTATGAGCAAGATGTTGAACTAATCCAGAAGGATGGCAAAATACTGCTAAGATCGTAAATTAAATACCATTAACATTATGTAACATATAACATATAGAAGATATGACAAAATATTATTCTTATGGAGTTTCACTCAGCAAAGGACAATTTGAAAACCTTTCGCGAGCTTACAATTATAATTCAGCAATAACAATCAGACTTGCCAGAAATGAATTATCTGGTCCAAATGAATTAATGGTCAGATTAATAAATTGAAAAAAGCAATGAGTCAGGGTACGGGTTCAGATGTTGAAATATCAAAAACAGAAATTAGTAAAGCTATTAAATATGGTGGTAGTTTGCGGGGATCATTAGTCAGTTTAGGAAGCAAGTTATTACCTATGGCCATGCCTCTAGCTAAAAAGGCTATTGCACCGATTGCAACAGGCGGTTTATCCGGCTTAGCCAGTCTAGGTGTGGATAAAATATTCGGAAAGGGTCAACAAGGAGGTTTTCTTATTCCACAGGATAAAATAGCACAATTGATTGCGTACAAGCATTTACTATCCGCAGGTCAGAAAAAGGATTATTCTTAATGCTCTCGAATCAGGAGGTCAATTAGTTATCAAGCCAACGAGAACACAGCAGAATTGGGGTTTTAGGAACACTAATAGCGAGTATAGGAGTCCCTCTGTTGCTAAATGTATTCACAGGAAAAAGGCTCCAAGCCGACAGAACTGGTACCAGTAATACAATGTCAGTATATGTTCCTGGTCAGTACAACTAATGGCCATGGAGTGATTAATCCCTATCCTTATATGTCCCCACCATTTATTAGAACATGGAACAATCCAGTTGGTATGGGAGTAAAAAAAAAAAAGAAGAGGACAAGGGCTGCTGCTCGGCAAAAACAGTCCATTTAATTCAATCCCAATTCTAGGGACAATACTATAAAATTCATCAACAAACAATTGTCAAATATTGATTTGTTACACCTGGTCAAACAGCTTGGAATAAAATATTTCAGAAGTATTTACAGCCGCGATAATTTACCAGAAAAAATACTCAGATTGGAAACAGGAATAATTAATTTGGACGATTCAATAGGCAGGGGCAGTCATTGGGTTTGTTATAGAAATATAGATGAACAATTTGTGAATACTTTGATTCGTTTGGATTAATCATGCCTAATGAGATCAAAAATTATCTGATAAGAAGTGGTACAGAAATTGTGTATTCGTAAGATGAAATACAAGAAAGAGATAGTGTTTTGTGCGGTTATTGGTGATTATATTATCTTTTGGAGAGACAAAAAGGTAGATCATTATTAGATGTTATACATAATACCAAATTCAGTATCTCAGATCAAATGATAAATCACAAAGTTTTGATAAACTATTTTAAATTAACGTAATCCATATATATAGAATGTCTGAAAAATTTATGATCCAGCAACTGGGCCAACGGATACTATAGCCATGCAGCATGATGTTGATTATAGTGTCTGTGGAGATAACCGGATAATGAAAGACAATGGGGCCACTGGTTACCTAGAAATCTAACTAATACAAAACAGAAACTCGGACTCGGTTTAAACTGAAAAAGCCGTCGGGTATAAGTTGGCAACAGCAATTGGTGGACGAATTACGTAAGCCCATAAAGCGCAACTTTACTCGGCGGCGCGTCATTGTAAACGGTATCGAAAAAATTTGGTGCTCAGATCTGGTTGAAATGCAACAGTTCAGCAAAGGCAACAAGGGTTATAGATATCTTCTCATGTTATTAGATCTATTCTCCAAATATGGCTGGATTATCCCATTGACGGATAAGAAAGGGGAAACTGTCACAGAAGCATTGAAAACCATCTTCAAAGAGGGGCGTAAGCCACAATATCTTTGGACTGATAAAGGGAAAGAGTATTATAACAAAAATATGAAGGAACTGTTGGAAAGAATGGCATAACACTATACTCAACCGAGAATGAGGAAAAATCTAGTGTTTGTGAAAGATGGAACCGTACAATTAAAACCAAAAAGTGGAAGCAGTTTATTGTCCAGGGTAATACCATACATTTAGACATACTACCGACAATACTGAGCCAGTATAATAACACCAAACACAGTTCCATTAAAATGAAACCTATAGAAGCTAGTAAAAAGAAGAATGAAAGTACCGTGTATTTCAATCTATATGGCGATATGAAGCAATTGTCATCTAAGCCCAAATTCAAGGTTGATGATAAAGTCAGGATAAGTAAGTATAAGGGAAAGGTGTTTGACAAACGCTACACACCTAATTGGACTGAAGAGATATTCCTGGTCGATAAAATCCAATCCACAAATCCAATTAGCAATAGATTAAAGGATCTCAAGAACCAGGAAATACAAGGCAACTTTTATGAGCCTGAATTACTGAAGGCAAAACAGGATGTATTCCGTATTGAAAAAGTCATTCGGAGGGATTATTAGAAGAAACAAGCTCTTTTGAAATAGTTGGGTTATAGTGACGACTTTAATTCCTGGATTCCATTAAGCAGCTTACAAAATTTATCTAACTAATAGTAGTATGGACAGTCATATAAAAAAGTTGGATACTAAGGTCCGGAGTAAGGAAGCCCAGCTCAGTACACTATACACTAAAATTCAAAAATTGGAAGAAGAAATTGCCACATTACACTGCAAGAAATTGGTTGTGAAAAGACCGGGAACAGCTGAGAAGTCATTAACCGGCATCCAAGATGCGATCTAGGAGAAAAAGTAAGGATATTGCTAAGATCCTCGGTTATAGCAAAACAGAAAATGCTATTAAGAGACATGTTTCTGAAGAAAATAAAATACGCCAAATTTGTTGGCACCCCATTTCAGAGGGTCAACAAAATGAGACAGCTTTGTTGAGGTCGTGAAACGAGACCTCAGACCTAGGGTGCTGAAACGGCACCACCATGAGGCCCAAACTATTTTAATTTATCATATATACCATTTTTATTGGCTTGTATGATATATAATTATCTAACCTATATATATGGTATATATGATAGAAAAGAAATATGTCAATCAAGATATAAAAATCGAGTTGACTTCATATATTGATGATAAACAAAACGTTTGGTTCAAGGGTAAAGACATTGCCCTAATTCTCGGATACAGTGACACAGATCAGGCTTTAAGAAAGCATACCGATAATGAAGACCGAAAAAGCTATCCCGTCAAAACGACGGGCCAGGTCAGATGGTATACTTTTATAAATGAATCCGGATTTTATTCCCTTGTTTTGTCCTCAAAGTTAGAAACAGCCAACATTGGGTAACATCACAAGTACTCCCATCTATCAGAAAATTTGGAAACAACAAACTTTTCGACAACCCAAATAACAAAATGTCTAAGATTGAAAATGAGACAGATCTACACTGCAAAGTTGTACACCTAATCAGAACCTTTTATCCAAAAGCCCTTATTGTAGCAGGACTTGGGGAAAACCAAGACACTCCATCCAAAAGAATTGGTAGTTGGAAAAAAGGTTATAAATTGAACTACCACAAAGATTGATATTGAGTTTAAATCTCCAACCAATAATTACCAAATTTCAGATGCTCAAAGAGAGATGAAAAAACGGTATAAGGAAAATTGCTACCAATTCATCTAAGTAATGACTATGATCACAGCTGTAAAGAAGTACATAATTACATGGCTGGTATTCGTGTGCCGTGTAAATACTATGACAAAGCGTTCCTAAATAAAGAAACACAAAAAACCCATTATAAAATAATCCATCCAATTGAAAAATAATAGAACTATATAATAGTGCCATTAGCCAGAAAGCTAGTTAGTATCTATTTAATACGCCTCAGTCTTAGTTCACCTTAGAGAGGTCCTTTTTACATTCCATAATTATATACAAAATATATATATGGAAGATTATATCCGTCTTTTATCCCGACTGCAGTCTCTTTCTGGAGGCAGTAGTTTAATAACTATATATATTCCTCCAAATGGTAGAGTAAGCCTTTAAAGTAAACAAAAGTTGACCAATGAAATAGGCCTTGTCTCAAACATTAAGTCAAAAGTCGTACAAAAGCACACGAAAACCGCTCTAAAATCAGCATTACAGCAATAAAACCAGCTAAAAGAACCAAGAATTTCATGCTGTGGGTTATTACTACTATCTGGCATCATAAAAAATACTTGTGAAGGATACAAAGGGTCAGTACTCGTTGAGCCTGAGCAAGCAATAGAAAAAGCTGATTATAAATGCGGTAAGAGCTTTTATTTGGATCCTATTTTAAATACTTATAAAAAGAAAATAATTGAAAATCCAATAATTGATAAAATATTGGATATGATTGCAAAAGCAAATATAGACAGGTTGGATTTTGGAATCAAAAAAATAACCAATAATCATTCTCATATTGTATTCACAAATGAGGATAAATATCAAAACTATAAGCCAGATCCTGACTCAAAAACCAAAATAATATATGGTCGCAAACTATTTCAGTATGGTGATGTGGTTTGGCTTAGATATTATTAAAGTCAAACCGCCCAAACGGTTACCAAAATGCTGACTCAGCAAAAAGCATATAGTTTACTCATAGTAGGGAGGGAGAAGAATGGTTCACGCAGAGAGTAGCCGCCGTAGTAGTACTTCGCATACATTGATTCCAAACGTAGAAAGTTAGGTATGTTTATCCTCTTTCTGAAATGCAAATTTGTTTACCCAAACAAAGTAAATTCGCCACCAAGTCGCCAATTTCCTTCATTTTCAATTTGGATCACGTGACATGTCATGTGACCATAATTAAACGATAAGGCACAAGAAAACTTCAAGATTTACTTTTGGGGAAAAATTCATTTTGTCTTAGGTCTCCTAGCGAGAGATATTGCTAATCATTCATATGCTCCGAACAAACCTTTAAACCCAGGCTTTAAACCCCTCGAGTAATTATATATTTTCTTCATTTGTCTCTCGTTGTAGTCCCACCAAACTGCATGGACATAAAACTTAATCTGGCCATTATCTTGGAGGCCTCAAGCGAAATTGGATTGCAGCACTTCCTTGCTGCAAAAGAATTTATTAAAAAGTTGCTGGAACTGAACGATGTCTCAGCTACGGGAACCCATGTCAGCCTGGTACTTTTCAACAACAGGGCATATGATATTATCACCTTCCAACAACCCAGCTCTCAGAACAGAGATACCTTGAGTATAATACTGCAATTTTTACCGCCCCAACTTGTAATTGCACCGGGTAAACGGCTTGATCTAGCATTAACACACGTCAATGATAATGTATTCAACGCCGTCACAAGCCAAGGACAAGACATTACAGACGTCGCGGTTTTCATAACTGATGGACGAATTATTGACGGAAACAATATAACTGGAACGGTTTCCTCTTTAAAGGTAAGATTATGACGCACGGTCGATTACTACTTAATAAGAAATAGAAGACGAATAAAAATAGTGGCCAATACAATTAAAAAATTATTTACAAAACTCAGAATTAAGTCATTCAAATCCAGTTAAAATCTGAATGTTGTTTTTACTAAAAATCAAGTTAAAATAAATCATATGCTACAATAAAGAAAAAGCAGTTAGTTGTATAAAGATAAACTACTATTTGATTAGTAAGTAAGTTTATTTTCATTTTGATCAATATAAGTTACAGCAGCTTAAAACAAATATATCAAATATACAGAGTAAAGAAAGCTTTAATGGCTTTTTCTATGGCATCCAATGAATGACCTTTGCCATGCACAAAGCATGTAACAAATGTGAGAATTTAAATATCTATTTCATTTTCCAAATCAACATACAAAATTAGTGGTTACCTAAAGCTAATTTAGATTCCAATAATTAGAATTTCTATGGTAGGTCTGATAGTATAAATTTTTTCATCTTTTCCTTCTTTCTACTTTTTGCAACATCCTACAAGAAAAGTAAATGATATGCGTACAGGTACATTTATTTATAGTACTTAGCCGCATACACCTTTACCTAGTCGTCATACGATATGGCCAAGAAAAAGTAAGTCTCTGTATCACTTATTGACGACAATCTTCTCCAGAGAGCAATTGGATAATGGTTTGAAATTCAGTCCAAAGCCTCTGCTACACAAAAATCCCTTTACCCGATTGATAGTTCACATGACGTCATGACAGCCATGTTGGTGTTCCAAATTAATGAAACGGCGGCCATATTAGTGTTCTAAATAACTCCTGCACGAGATTTATTTAAAAATTCTTTTCTAATGTAAACTCTTTCTTCTGTTCGGATAAATTTGCATGGAAGCATGGCAAGCAGCTATGTAAATTTATTGGAACAAAATAAAGCGTCTAAGAAGAAAAATGAAAGATTTGTAAGGGCCTGTTTACGTAGAGGTGCGGGACCCCAGGTAGGTGAGGTAACCCGCTTAGGTGGGGTAACCCGCCTGTTCATATAATCTCTCATAGTAGACCCGCCGCACGTTACCTCGCCTATCTGGGGTCCCCCACCTCCATGTAACAGGCCCTAACACGACGTTTCGGGGTCCTCATGACTCCATTTTCAAGTGAGATGTGACTAATATTTCAATAGAAAAATACTAGAGATGAGAAGAAATAATTTTACATACTGGTTAAGTAAACACTTTGGCCCGCAGGGAATCGGATTGCACATTTAGTGAAGGCGTGAAGTTCTTAATTAAAAGCATCTCTTGCATTTGTTTGATTGTAATATTATTCACATCTCACTTGATAATGGAGTCAATGAGACCCAAAAGCGTCGCGTTATAAATCTTTCACTTTTCTTCTTAGTTGCTTGTTTTAATAAAACCCTACTATAAAAGAAAGCATGTTCAGAGAAAAAGAGAGTTCAACGCGAGCAGGACTGGTTTGGAACACCAACATGGCGGAAGTGAAATCAAGTAGCAACCTTCAGGCTCAATTAACGAACTATGTTTATTCTATTTTCAGGAGAAGAATATTAAATTGGTGACGGTGAGCTCCGGAACTGATATACGACAGGAAGTGTTGTACGATATTGCAGGGCCCAACATGTGTCTCAGTGTCAGTTTACAGGAAATGGTGGCGAACGTAGAGAAGGTTGCTACCAAAGTTTGTAGTCCTTAAGATAGTAAACTCTCTGGTGAGTAAGTTAGAAAAACAAGGGTTTGTTACATATACGTAAAGCAAATGATGGCGGAGAAATCTTTAAGTCTTGAAAGTAAAACGCGTTCTTTTAGGAAAAAAAATGAAGAATGATTTATTTTACTTGCACCTAACCAAACTATCTTCTTATTTCTTTGCTCTTGTTTGCTCTTTATCGTATGCAAAGTGCTAGAAGTAAAATAATAAAAATAATAATAATTTTATTATAATATTAATAATGATAATGGCAGTGATAATAATAATAGGTAACAAAAAAACAAAAACGAAAAACAAAACAAAACCAAAACAAAGAAAACGGCCGGATGCTTGGACTGGATACGGGTGGGGGTATACTTTATAATTAAAATGGCTGTCCAAATTAGACATTCAAGTACATGCATATAGTTTGCTTTACGAAGCCTGCATGCTGTAAAATATCTATTGTTGTCATGCCAGTCGCACTTTTTGCTTTAGAAGCGGCTCATCCCCGGTATAAGAACCTGAAAAAACTCATGGGTGATGTAAAACAAAGGAAACAAGAAAGTCGACACTATAGAACCTATAAAACGAAAAACAAAAGATGCAAAACAAAGAAAAAAAGGACAGGTTCTTACCGCCAAGGTAAAACATCAAAAGCATTTCTCAGAATTCTAAAGGGTTCTTCTTTACCTCGGTTTCATGGGCTGTTTCATTAAGAACTGTTAAGTTATGCATAACTAGTGGTGAATTCGAGTGTCTTTTGGTCTCAAACATTTTGTCTTTTATTACTTTTCTACAGGGGTAAGATTGCATTAACTGATTGGGGAATTATGTTTCTTTTGCAGCGATTTCAGGTGAAAGGGGAGAATGCTGCATTTACAGGGTCCACTGTCAAGTGAAGAATACAATATCTTAAGAATATATTAATATCCATTTCATATTATTCTCAGAATTCGTAGAAATTTGATAAAAAAAGATGCGTTAAGCAAATCAACAGTTTATGCTTTGTTAGCGAAGTGATCATAACAAGAAGACAGGAGGAGGATCCACCTTGTTAAGTAGTGTATGGGCTCTTCAAGATACAATCCATAGGTTAAGTTCAGGTATATATAGACAGTATATTTATTTATTATGGCCAGAAAATTCGGGATGAAACTTGAATACTACATCGGGACTTGAATGATTATTTTATCTAAGGGAGGGGGGAGGGCGTGAAAAGTCCAGTTAAAAGGGAAAAAAAATAAAGAACACCCTGAAATATTTACTTATATAACAACTTACAAAATCGCATTGTTTGGTTGAATAAAGGGCATATAATCATACTCTGTTGTCTTTGCTGTTTTGGAATTCAAAGCTGTGCAGCTGATAGCTTATAGTGAACCATTGTAAATGGACTTGCCCCAATTGCAAACCATAGATCATTCATGAAAATTAAAACGCCAA